GGAGTCCGGGGGGCGGGTCCCAGTGCCGCTGACGTCCCGAGCAGTGCTGGGAAGTATAGGCTGTGTTGTCACGCCGGTGTCAGTCTGATGAAGATTGGCATCAGGTAAGCTGTCATTCATTTCCATGTCAGAGACGCTTTTGCAGGCGGCGGCGGCGCAGCGGCGGCGGCTGCTGCTGCGGGCGGCTGCCTCAGAGCGCGTGTGTTTTATTCCAGTCCCCAAGCCAGAGTATTATTCATTGCGACAGGGCAAGGAGGAGAGAGGGAGAGAGGGAGGCAGCAGGGAGGAGAGAGAGGGAGGCAGCAGGGAGGAGGGAGGCAGGGAGTAGAGACGGACGGCGGGAGCGTGCAGAGCGAAGCTGGGGAAGCGCCGGGAGAGCGCGGAGCGAAGCCGCGCGAGGGGCCGCGAGGCCGGGCGAGGAGGCGGCGAGAGCTGCGCGGCCCAGCACCGGGACCGGGCCGGTGCGCAGCTTCTGCGGCGGTGGGCTGCGGACTCCGAGCGCGGCAGGACCGGGAGCCTGGAGCGGGCGGGCTGGGTGCTGTGCGCCCCGAGCTTCCCGGGACCGCAGCGTAGGGCGAGCGCCGGCCCGAGCCCGGCTCCGGGATCCCGGCTGGGCGCTCCGAGGGGCGAGGCTGGGCACCGCGCGCCGCTCCAGCTTCTTTCCCCGGCTCCGCGAGCCCTGGGGCCGGCCCTTTCTCCAGCCTGGGCCGCCGGGCTGGAAACGCGAGCAGCTGGAGCCTGGGGCCGGGGGCTGGAGTCCAGCTGCAGCGCCGCGTCCTGCCGGACCCCAGGAGGCAGGGGGAGAGGAGGTTCGCAGGATCCTGGGGACAGGGGAGCACGCGTGGGGGTCAGAGAAACCCGGACCCGGCTACACTCAGGGACCCTAACCCGGAGTAGGGAGAGAATTCGTAGGTCACTGGCTTTCCGTAGGTTGTTGGGGGGTCTTGGGGGTGGGTTTTTGGGAGGCTTGGGGGCCCTGGGCGAAGAACTAGAATATGAATTCGTTCAATGGGGGACCGAAGATCAGGAGCAGAAAGCCGTAGGGGATGGAGCCGGGTCCTACTGTGCCGCGCAAAGTTTGTGTTTCTTTCGGGTTAGGCGAGTGAATCTCCCGGCCCCCGAAGCCCAAGGAAGAAAGGAGCGCAGTGGGCCGCGCTTCCCCCGGCGTTCTCCGCAGCGCAGCCTGGGGTTTCCGCGCCGGGAGACCCGGGATGGGAATGGGAGGGGGTTGTGGATCAGCTCTGAAATGAGGGCTGGGCTTGGGGCAGGCTAGAGTTTGGGTTGTCGGATCCCGGCTGTTTTCTCCAGAATTGGAAATGAAGGGCCGCTATATAGTTTACACGCCGGCGAGAGCAGAGGGCTGGAGATAGGCGATGGGGCCCCGTTAAGTCGGAGGCTCGCACTGGATGGGTAGGTGACGATTTTAGCACTGAGCCACAGGATCACGACTCTTTATGGGGGTCCCGGCTATTGGAATTTGGGAAGGGCTGCTCCTTCAGGTCCTGACAGCGCGCGGGATTGGAAAAACGTTTCGTGGGCCACGAAAGTAGTTGACCCGACCGGTGGTAAGCTAGCTCAGAATGTCTGCTGCTCCTCCCAACAAGCGAACACGAAGGAGAAGATTTGGGGTGCATAGGACCTGGACCTAGGAGACTGATTCTGGGGAACAGACAAATCTAGGGATATTCCAGGCGAAGAGACAGGGCAGCCTCACCGGTCTCCGAGTGGATCCGAGGACCCGACCCTGGGACTAGGCGGGCTCCTGGAGCCACTCGAGGTTTGCGGCCGCAGGGCGGCGGGCGGTTGCTGGTGGCCCGCCGGGACCGCGGCCTGCGACTCGCGGAAGGGAGAAGCTAGGAGGGAGATGCCCCTGGGGCCTGAGGGCTTCGGCCCTGGGCGGGATACTCTCGAACCCGGGAACTCCGATTCGACCTGCCGCCTCTTCCGCTGGCGGGTTTCGACCACTGGCAACGCGGGGAAGCCCACAGGCCCCACGATCTATGCGGTGTTCCGGCCCAGCGGGAGGAGGAAGTTGTTCGGGGTTCCTTACCCTTACACATGTTAGCTTGGGACTTCTCCAGGATGTTGGCTTTCTGGAATTCAGATGCTCTTCAACTGGTGAAAGCCAAGTTAACCATCTTAAGCAGATTTAAACGATTCTTCCCACACCCAAATCTGAGAAACGAAGGTGTTCAAAAACAACACGATGCATAATCCCAAGCTCTAGCCCCTGGCCTTCCCACCCTGCCTTCTGACCTTCCCGAAGCCCCAGGACCTTGGTGCAAGTGTGTATGTGTGTGTGTGGGGGGGTCTCGTTTCTGGGTTCATATCTCACACTCAAACTGCGTCCTCAAGAGTAGTAGTGGTAGTCCTCAGGCCTAGCTCAGGAGTGTTTTGAATGAGGAAAGGTCCGGAAGGGGTGAAGATCTGGGGGGGTGGGGGGTAGGTAAAGTGTGTGATGCGGGGTGGAGGAGTGTGTGTATAAGAGAGATTTCCTCCGTGCACACTTGCATCCTTGGCTGGGACAGCCAGACAGTCTTTCGCCGGCACTGAAGCTCCGGGACCCGCGAATGGCCACCGCAGCCTGGGGCGCGGCGACTGCCGCGGCAGCGATGCTGAAAGGCTGTTGTTTTCCAGGCTTGGAATTCGTGCGCGCGCTCTCTCCCGCAGAGAGCTGAGCCGGGGAGGGAGCCGTGACCCCGCAGAGACTCCCCGGTCACCGCCTCCCTTTTGTGAGCGCGAAAGGCGTGAAAGGCCGGAGAAAGAGGAACTGCTCGGAATGAGGGCCAGGGGGTTACTAGAGGGAGATGGGCCCAGCAGCGATCACAGTAAAATGCCTCGTGCGAATTGCAGTGAAGTGTACCCAACTTGAGACTGGCTGTTTTATGATGCTTTCTGGGAGTTTACTGCTCCTGCTTTTAAGTCTATAGATTGCTTTAAGTTAATGAAAGTGCTGCTTTCAAAAGGGGCTTTCAAAAGGGGCAGTGACAAATCCAGTACCTCCCCTTTACTCTTCCAAAATGGGCCTGTTTAGGAAGAGGGAGCTTGCTGGGGTTCCCACTGAAACAGAGCTGGGGGGGGGGGGCAGGACGCCGTGCGACAAGGAGGATTAATAAAAGTCAGTGTTCGAGTAATTCTGAAAGATTTTACTTCTCCCCAGTCCAGTTGCATCTGTACGTTCCTGAATGGCCTTCAAGGCGTTCCCTGGGTCTAGCTTTAAACGTTGCCGGGTGCCTCCACGGCAGCCCCCTCCACAGTGTTTTATGTAGGCCTGACCCTACTCAATTCAACTCAAACTGGATTTCAGGATTTCTGCCCAGTTGCCAATTGAAACTGCCACTACAATATTTACTTGGGCCCTGGGGGAGGGGCTTTGATTTGTGTTCAGTAAGATAGGGGTAAAGGGCTGGGAACCTCGAGGAAGAATAAGGCAGGCTGTTTTTCAGCATTTTTACCCCTTTTCAATCTATTTGGCACAAAAGGTGAGATGACATGGATTTGGACTACATACTAACACAGAACTGCAGAGGGACTGGGCTGTGGCTTTGACCGCATGTCATAACCATTTAAACTGTGGTTAGTTGTTCAAAGCTCAAAGCTTCTCCAAGCTGGGTTTCATTAACTCTACACCAGTTGCCTGGAAGTTCAGTAGCAATAAATTGTATAAACACATTCGAAGTAAGTTAGTGATGAAATAAGGAGAATTATTGTCTTGTGAGTGGAGAATCCCTAATTCATGGAGTTCTAGCTTAAATGGAAACATACCTCTTTTTCCTTGGCCTTGAAGTTTATGGGTGCACCACAGTGTGTGTTAAATTTCTTTCTGCCATGTTCATCTTCAGCCTGGGGCTGTAACTCATTAGAGACCAAGGCATGCCTAGAAAGCAGAAAGCTGAGTTTTAAAGGGAGTCTCTATTAGCCTGATTGAGGAACCAAACCAAAGCGTTCAACCTGATTTCCTTACCCTTCCTGAATACAGTGAGTAATATAAACAGAGCAGGGGCAAATTAGAGTTTTAAATGTTAGAAGCTTAATAACACTGTGTTGTAGCATTTGAAATTGTTTTTTATTAAAGAAACAACTAATAAAGTTTATAGGCTTCCAACATGTTGCAAGATTTCCTTGGTGGTATTTATTTAACACCCGCCCCCCCCCCGCACACTCGTGCGTGTGTACACACACACAGACACACACCTTTCAGAAATTCAACCTCCAGTTTTGGACTTTTGTTCCTAATTTATTTAAACTGACTTTTGTTCCTGATTTATTTAAACTGGAACACATTTTAAAATTAATTGGAGGAGAGTGAGACATGCTGTTACAAGTTTTCTTTTTCCTCTCCTGTATTGCACAGGGACTGTGACACTGTAGTGTGTGTGTGTGTGTGTGTGTGTGTGTGTGTGTGAAGCAATTGCTGGAGGTGACAGCATGTGAGGCAAAGTGTCTGGATCAAATAAAATGCAGATCCCAAGATGGAGAGGGTGAAAAGATGCCACAGAGGAAAGGCAGAAGAAGTGATATGGAAAATGAAATCATCATGAGCCTCCATAAGCCTTGAGTCTAACCAATACAACACGCTTTGTATTAGACACTTCATATGAGACCTGTGGCTTATTGAAGATTGAATTATATTGAGAAGCAGAATTTAGAGGGAGGAGTTGCACTCACTGGGTTCTATCCAAGCGGCATGGCGGGATGTTTGCGATGGGGCTCAGTAATTTAATTAAGTCTAATACCTGATGGGGAAAGAAGGAAGGAGGGAAGGGGGTGATTGGTGATAATCAAGGCTGGCAGGTCAGCATGCTGGGCTAGAGTTTGAGTTGGAATTTGGGGGCCTGGCGGCTTCATGCCCTATTACCACCAGCAGGTCCCCCAGCTGCTGGAGCTTGGTTTCATCTGTTGAGTGGAATGTAGCACGTGCTGTCCCTTATTAGGCTGCAAGGAGTGAAGGGTGGGCAAGAAGCAAGCACAGGGCTCACTGTAAATAATAAAGAAAAGGAGATAGAGGCTTCCTGGCAGCAAGGTCGCATTCTTCCATCTGTGTTTCCTTCCTTGCCTGGCTCCAGAGTCTGTCCTCACAACTTGCAGGAGTTCCTAGACTTTT